CTGGTATGTATTGCTACCAGTTTAGGACAGTTGAAGCAAAAAGAGAGGAATCAATATAACCAAAGTCATAGAGTCAGTGGCAAAATTAGAGACTTGGTGCCTTAACTAAAAGGAACTCATTTTGCCATCTGACATAAGACCCGATTCAAAACCCACCTAAGTCAAGCGAGTTGTTTCTACTGCCCAAAGAGTATCAGTCACTTGCTGTGTAGCACTGCATCACTCATCTTTGTGGGCACTTTAATTTTCCCATCTTGTTTAATTCCTTTATAGGCCCATATCAAGGGTATATACATTTATGGGCCAGGGGGTTTTTTTTTTCTTCCTCCAGGTATGTGCCAGTCACGGAAAAGAATGAAGCATTGTGCATAAAGTGCTATACACTTGTATGCTTCGTTAACCAACCTAGATGATATACTTAGATTAACAGCAAGTATTTATATATGTAGGTAAGCAAAAGCACAAAAGAATGCCTGGTTTGGGCTTTGGCTACAAATTCCAGCCTATCCTTCCTTCTCCGTAAAAAACACAAATATCTCAACATCTGCAACTGAAGAACTGTTACTGGCATCTTTGGTTTGTTCTTTAAAAGTTGATGCCACCTCATCTGGCCCTAGCTGTAAAAGATGGCACCTACGTCCAGGATTGCTGTCTTGCACTTAAGGAGGACAGTGCCCTTTCTTCTAGTCTTGCTGCGGTAAGCCATGCCATTTTCATGTTGGAGCATGTCCAAAATGAACACCTTGGCTAATGACAAACAATTCAGGGTTTTTCCCTGCATCCAGTCATTTTGAGCAGGCTAATCAGGTACCCTCTAGAAGAGGTTTCTAAATGAGTCCATGAATAGCAAACTAGCAATGGATCTTTAAAAAGATGTATTCATGGGTTTGGCATTCCCGGGTTCTCATGTTAACTATGTTGACTACATGTTGACAGACAACTTGACTACAGTTGTTGGTCTATGGTTTTGGCAAAGGCTTCCAGGTATTGCTCAAGACATAGACTTTTTGGGTTAAACATCTGTAAATGCCTACTGACTGAGGGTCACATCCAAAGTGACTGCAAAGGCATCTGAGCAGGTGGAATTTAGACCTAGCCGTTGTTTGACACAGAGCCCACCTGCAGCTCCAAACAAACAAGGCCATCAGAGGAGGACGAAGAAGAAGAAATGCCCCCTTTCCATCCAGCAGGCAAGAGGTTAGGGACCTATGCAGAAGTCAGAGACATGACTGGGTTGTAGACCCAGATTGGGTCCTTAGAGAGGAGTCCAACCCACACCCCCTGCTTCCAGAGATGGCATGCTAACCACTAGGCAACTAGGCTGGGCTCAGTGGGACCCTAGACATACCTTCTGCTTTAACCTGGGTCACTAAGCAGCCCAGAGCGTAAGATTTACAGGGCCTGGGGGAGAAGAGGCAAGAAGAAATGTGGCTGCACAGCCTACTGGTTTTGAGCCAGTTCCCCCCTCCCCCTCCCCTCGTCTATAGTTCTTTGTTTTTAATCAATGCCTGTCAGAGGTAAAACACCAAGAGTCCTGGCAGCAGGGACCACAAGCCAAGGTCGCCTATGCACCTGAGTGCCCTCCTCACTGAACTACACATCACGCCCCATCATGGTCTCTCTAGCCTCTTCGTGCTTGATATCAGATGGGCATCATTTAAGCAAAACCAGACTCCAACTAGCGTTTACACCATTCTCCTGCGGAGTGAGCACCTCAGGCTAAAGGTCCCTCAAATGTGGGGCATCTCCTTCCTGGGCAAGTGCTGTAACTTCTCAGCTGTGAGCAAAAAGTTGCTACCAGCATTGATGTTCAAGAGTGACCATGGGCTGCTGTGCTTTGTATTGAAGTCATGGCTATGAATTGATTAGGGGGCTTGGTCCAGGTAGGCATCTCCCTTCTGAACAGCTTGGACAAGACAGAAACACCTGCCTTACAGGTCTGTAATTTTATACCGTGCATTAAGGGCAGGGACCTTACCTCTTAGAAGAGCAAAACTCCTTTTGGGGGCATGATATAAAGGCTGGGCCCAATCCTCACCTGGCATCATTCAGAATGGAGCTAAACTACCATTTGCACCAGCATGAAATTCAAGCCACTATCGTCTTGTGCTCCTTCCTCCAGAAAAAAACCAGAGTGCATCAAGGTACAATCTCACACATGCAAACAAAACACCAGCCAGGCAGGAAAGCCATAATTTATTATTCCTTTATTAACAATGTGGCTTACAATTCTTCAAGTAAAAAGGGGATTTCATTTTTGAATAAAAATTAAAATATAACTCTGAATATAGATTTTCATTTATTTACATGAAAACATATATACAGAATATAATCTTACAGCAAACTAATAACATGCCCTTTGCCCTGTGAGTTTTAAAAAGTAAAAACACCAGCATTTTGTTTTGTTTTTTCCTGTAGCACATCAAAAGGGGGTATATATATATATATATATACACACACACACAAGATCTGAACTGCTTCTTTGATACAAACTGGAATGCAAAGTGGTCCAAAGACTTCCAACATATGCCACTATGAATGGTTTATGAGGCTGGCTGTCATCCTACTTCTCAGTATTATAGCTGTTATAAGAGTTGCCAGGGGGGGATATAAATGAGAATTTTTTTTCTGATCCCTTTCCCATTTTGCTAAAGGAAAAGTTGATTCCATCAAGGATCATCCTGAGAGTTGCCTCTAGCCAATTGTCTAACCAGAGATCCAGTCCAATGCTTGGGAGGATTAGTAATCCTGCTCATAGTCTCACTAGGGACAGTTCTCAACCATCTGCACAGTCATTTTTCTAGCAGTAGATCTATGCAAAGCAGGAAAATATTCCAAGATCTAGTGCACATTATGAGCTCACCCAGCAAGATTATTCCTAACATTAAAGGCATGCACATCCTCCCGTTGGTTTCCTTGGGAGTACTCAGTTGCTTTAAATGCATTCTTAAGGCCCTCATTCAATGTCTAAGCCAATGGGACTTTTGCTATTGACTTAAACAGCAATTGGATCGACTCCTTTGGGCTCGATTTCAGTAAGAGTTGGGCACCTACTCAGGTTTCAAAACCTGTGCATATGCATTTTGCTGATCTAGAAATCCTTACCCTGAGCCAGATCATGCTATCCCATCGGAGGCCAGAAAACCCTCTCGTGGTATTCCCTAAGCAGCATCCCTTTAGGCCAAGAGGGTGCAAAGAGGAGGGTTGGCCTGGCCCCTCCAAGCCAGGGGATCCACAGGAATTGGGACCTCACTTCTACGGACGGAAGAACAAAATCATCCGCAGCCCCTACTCCCATCCATCCAGAGGACCTCCGGGTATGCTGTCATTGGAGCGAGTCTCTGCTGCCGTGGAGAAAACTTGGACCTGCCTGCATCTGGAAACCACGGACAGAGGGCCTAACCCTGAGCGCAGGTCTGCTTCATCTTCTCCTTCCATCTGGCACCTGTCAGAGCTCTAGGGATTTGACATCAATTAAAACACCTCCTCTATCCAATGCCAGCTCTACCTAAACCCTTTTTCTTCCTCTTCCCTGAAGTCTTCCTCCAGCCTTCCATATATAGCCTTGAGGGTCATGGAGGGATAAGTGGAAACATGAAGCTGTGGCTCTATCTGTAACAGATAACCACTGAGCAGGAGCGCCACTAACTTTCCACTTGGGTACGGATGCAGAAATAACTGGGCAGAGGTGGGGACAGCTCCACTACTAGCTTCCCCCCTGGTACTCTGCTAACTTCCACACCATATACAAGTAGAACAGCCGCAGGGGATGCTACCACGGAGGCCGATTTCACCTACATGCAGAAGCAGAACGGGTTGCTATGAATTGGGGTTCTGCTCAAGCGAAGCTCCCACTGACTTCAGTGGCAGCTTGGGCTTAGGGAGGACCCAATGCGAACTACAGATTTTGCAGTGAAATATCAAAAGTGTGGTTGCATATTCCTTACATGCCCTGTCCTCCCACTGACTTTACTGGGACATGGTGCAGCATCACCACTGGAGGCTAGATCAAGCCCTGAACACCTGCATATATAGAGCATCAGTCCAGGAGGAAGTGATAAGTCAACGTATGCCTCTGTTAAATGAGCGGACTGGAAACTAGCACAAGGAGGGGTATAAGAGCATGAGAGGAGCATGCTGAACTGTGGGCTACACTTTTGGGAGTTTCATCTATGTGGTGTGAGATGTTACTGACATTTTAAGTGCAAGATGGGAATGAATTGTGTAAAGGATAAACCATGGAGGCTTTCTTATGCAGCAGTGCAATGGTAACATTTTGCTTCTCCTGCACCGTGTGCTCTGCTGAATGGCACTAAGTCCCTACAAAACCCAAAAACACGTCTCCTGCAGGAGAGGTGAAATTTAAGGACTGCAAAGGCCAATGCTGAGAATCCAGTCTTTAATCCTTGTGTTAATTAATATCTTCTAAATGACAGAAGAAATTCACCTGTTTCCAAAGCCCATTCTTTCCACTGATTTTATCTGGCTTTGAACCAAGTCCTTTGTGAAGAACAAAAACTCCTTTTCTAGTAGGGCAGCTACTTTGTTGAATGATATGGAAAAAAAAGGGTGAATATGAATTTAAAAAAAATCCATTGCTCTATATTAAAAAAAATCATATCAAATCCTAGTGCTTAAGGCATTTTGCTGATCATGGAAAGCATATTTCTTGGCTTGGGGAAATAGATGTATGAGACCAAGCTTTGCACTATGCAGCCCTAAAATGGAGATCTTGAGGCTACTTTAACCCACACATAATAAAGCTGGCTTTTATGGCACTCAGTACTAGTGTGCGTTTCCTTTTCCTTCAGCACTTGAGTTTTACCTGCAAAGAAAAACACGCTCCACATTTTTTTCCGAGCTCGCTGCCTTGAGAAACAAAGAACATTTGAAATGCCCTGACATTTCTGAACTCCAGGAAATTATAATGGTAAGTGACCTGACTTTTTTTTTTTTTTTTTTTTAACTGAAGTGCTGTAGACCTGGAGCTCCAAAATGAAAAGGCTCAGAAAACAACAAGGCTTGCTTTTTCGGTGAGTAAATACTGACTGACGGGGCCAGCTGGCTTTGAAAGAGCTTGTGTCAGGTTTGCTGACTTTCGGATCCAAAGTCGTTTCAGAATAAATGCAAATTGCAATGAGACAGATGTCATGCGAGTTTGGTGCCTCTCTCCCCTGGCTGTACTTGCTTTGGCGTTTTTGTTAATCCTAAATACCTTTGCGCATCAGCGTCTTGACAGTACATTGCAGACAGTATCACGGCATGTCCGACACCATCTCAATGAGAGCCCAGTCCTGGAATGATCCTCACTAGAAAGACTGAATGCCACCAATTTCCATTGATTTCAGTGAGCATTCAGCACCCTCAGGAGGTAGTTTGCAGCTTGCTGGGGGAGTCCTTCAGGCACCAGTACCTGTCTAATAAAGCTCAAATTCAGCTCCCGGAACCAGACATCAGTGCTTGAAAGCCATGATGCCCATCAGAGGTGACAGTGGCCAGTGTTTGCTTACAGCTAACAAGCTGAATGGTGAAAAGTGCGTGCCCAGGTGATGGATGGTGGGCAGCATGTGGGAAATGCTTGGAATATGGAGAGATCAAGAGGAAGAAATCTCATTCTGGAGCAAGGAAGTGTATAGGAGAGGAGGAGGACAGGTTCTCACCTGGTTGATAGTGGAGGGAAACGGGAGCTGGATTTACCCTGAGGGGATGGAAACTTCTCCTTCCAGTTCTAATAGTTGATCTAAGTTGGTGGAAGGAGATAGGTGCATAGCAGCACAGGACCACGGCCATGCCTGGTGCAGAGCATTTTAAATAGCTTAGTAAAACTCCACAAAATAGAGCTCCAGGCCTACATCTCAGAAGCTGGATTCCTCCAAGGAGACACCAAAATGGTGCAGAGCTGCTGTTAGTCTACCTGAATGGGCCAAGCACAGTGCTGACTTGAATGCACCGATTCAGCACAAGTACCCTGGGGTTCCCATCCCAGCTCTGAGTTGGCCCCAAGGACTGCGGCAGAGAGATGACCATCCTGTTCCTTGGCCAGAAGGAAAAGCCTTGCTGGTAATCAGCAATGGTTCTAGCTTTGGCCACAGTAATTTCATACCCTGAACCTTTTCATCCTGGAGACAAAGAAAACACACCGTCATTTATCTTGCCCCTACTCTCAGGACCAAATCCAGATGCGATATAACAAGATGCAGCTTCCTGAATATGATGGGAATCTGTTCCTTATTATCCCAGCTCTGAATTTGACTCTATACACATAGGATAAAAATGCTTCTTTTTACCGATTACTTTTTTTTTTTTTTTTTTTTATGTAGCAAAGTATATCAGCATTTCACCCTAATGAGTTCTGTGTTTCAAATGTCTCCTTAGAAATGCATTATTCTAAAATCTTGTTAATTTTCTGGATCTGGGATTATGCACCGGAAGGAGCATTCAGATCGTTCTGATCTCGGCTTGAATCTTTAAGTGACAATGTGAGCACATTGTTCAATTTAACTGCCTGCCATAGTTTTCTTTTACATAAAAAAAATTGGGTAGGAGATTCAGCGCTACTTCTCTGGAAGGCAATTAGAACAGCAGACTGCATCTCTTTGATCCCTTCCCACTCGCTATTTTAGGTGTCACTATAATAAAGCATTTGCCACTGAGGCCAATTCAAGGTAATTTTAGAATAAAGACTTGAGGTCACAGCTCTCCAAAAGGAACAGAGAAAAATAAATGAAGGGATATTTAAAAAGAAAGGAAGAAAAAAAAAAAAACACAGAGGGAGGGGGGAGCAAAAGCCTGGAGAGCTTTACAGTCTGCATAAGCTACAGTCAAAGCGGGTTTTTTTGTTTTTTTTGCTAGCTGTGGTTTTAAACATGATTAACCTTTCTGATTCTTGTTAATAGAAGGAAAAAACAATCAGTAAGAGCTCCGCTTGTTATTTCCATAAGGTTGCATATCACTGCCCAAAGCTGTGTGCCCCCTTTGCTACGTCAAAACTGAGCCTGGAGATGGTCCCGAATATAAAGCAGGCAGCCACGTGCACTCCAGTTCAGTCTTCCACAAGTATTTCGGTGGCACCAAAATGATTATCCATGTTGAGAAAGTAACAGGAACCACAAATGCATTCAATTCCTTTGATGACCCCTGGGCCAGATTATCCGGCGAGCGTCAAAGGAGCAGAAGGCAGATGGATCTGCCCTGCAGAGACCTGAACCTGCATCAGGGCACAGCCACCTCCAGGCCAGGCAGACATGCTCAGCACCTTTTCCATTTCCCTTACCGGGCCCCGGTGTCTGGGCCGATTCTAGTGTTTCTTCAAGAGCATACAGTGTCTCGGAGATGTACATATGTGTCTATATATGAACAACACGTGAGCTGCTTTAATTTAGGACAGTGACTGGGTGGAAGTTGCCAGGGAGAGTATGATGTCCCTGATGTCCACTGGACTAGAGAAGAGAAGCTGAGCTTTTCTGGGGGAAATTTTAAAAGGGAAGGTGGGCATTTAAACTCACTGGCATCTTGAAGGGTTCACCAAAAATCATCAGCACAACCGCAGTGATTTAGCATGCTGTTAAACACCCCATAGGATTCCCAATGCAAAACCCACTGCCCGTTGTCTCAAAGGACAACTTAACCCTTAATCATTTGTTTTCTGGTGAAACAAAAACCTCAGCACAGGAGCAGCCGCTTTATTCCCTTCCTTTAAATAAAGATCATTTAAATCTTACTACTAAGATCTTGTGAACAAAGGAAGTATACGAGTTTTACTGAAGCCAACTGAAGTATTGTGGGACCTGGTCTAACCTGCAGCAACTCGTATTGAATTTGTATTCAAATGTCAGAAGAAGGCAATTCACTGGGAGCAGACTCAACCAGGCAACCCGTTATTATAGCGGCACATTATAAAGATGCCTTGAAAAGCTTTATGGTCCCCTGAATCGATCCTTGCATAAAGTATTCTCCGAAGTGAATTCTGGTCCACCAGAGTCTGTAAAGGGTATTTCAGAAGCATTATACAGCACCAATAATTCACACAATTAACAGAGTCATCAAGAAGAAAATGGATATGGCAGAACCAACCAGCTCTAATCTGCGAATGCCCGGTCGTTTAGCTGAGCACATCCAGTCTGCAGGATTATCAGATCCAAGTCAGTGGGCAATGAGAGAGTGAACACAAGCAAAATGGCTTTTTAAAAAGCGGGGGTAAGAAAAAGGCATTGAAACCAACAGATTCTGTTGAAGTAACATTCGAGCTCTGAGCTAACTGGGCAAAAGCAAAGACATGTAGAATTCAGGGTAAAAAAATCACGTCTCACATTAGAAAGGGTCCCTGGAGACTCTGACCTGGCATCCTGACAAGGCTACGCTAGATTTCTGTAACAAATCCAAAACTCTGAGTCCACTGAAGTTGCAGATCACAGGCCTATTTATAGTTTCAGAGGAAACCATGCAAAAACAACCAAAAAAAAAGTCCGTGGTTTCCTCTGAAGCTAGGAAAAAAAAACTCAGTCACAACCACCGAGTTTGCCTTTTTGGGGAGCTCCGCTTGAAACTCATCTTCGAAATAAAACTCAGCTTCTGTTCTTGCTCGGGGTAGAGTTATTAGGAGGGTATAACACCATTGACTTCAATGGACTTCGTTCCTATTCCTATCACGAGCCATGCTGAGCCAAAGTCCATGCATTTCACACAGCTCTTTAACACGGCCACATGGGCACTCAGGGCCAGGTTACCCGGTACCTTTCGGATGCTTCGCATGTCTCCATTGACACAAAACAGTGCAAATCCAGTTTAACCAGGGACAGCAGCACAGGGCATCTGGTGAATCTGGCTCTTTGTATGCTCAGGAACAAAAGGGTGTGCTAGGCTAAATCCTCAGCTGGTATAAAACAATGCAGATCCTTTGCGGAACATTTTCTGATCTTTTTTACACCAAAGTCAACCCAGGAGATTCAGTTGCCTTCAATGGATTTAACCAGGTTCGGCCTAGATCAGCATTTACTCCAAAATCTCATCCTTCCACCTGAATTCCCTGTTGTGTAGGCGTCCACCATTAGACCTTTAACGTTACTTGGAGATAATTGAATGGGCTTTAGTATAAAATATTTCATGCATGTTCCATTACAAGAATGAAGAACTGTACAGGTCCAATCACAGAGAAAATCAGAATATTGTACATAACTCTACCAGGTTTGGGAAGCGTTACTGGGCACTACCTTTTGCTGTACCCCTTGAAGTTCACTGAATTTTTTTCTGATAGAGAGCACAGCTGGGATTCCCCTTTATCAACTGCTTGCTAAGACATTACACGGCGTATCACGGCTCTAATGCTTTCTTTGCAGGCCTGAATAAAGCACATTGATCATTACGATCAAATCTGCAGTAAACCGTGGATCACTAAAAATGATCACTCACATTTCAATATGAAAGAAGTGTGTCAGTTCATGACGGAGATCATTTATGTCCAGAAATTGACCTAGACACACCATAATCAGCTGGGAATGTTTGAACGTTATCCCCCATGGAATGTGTTTGCCGGTTGTAGGAAAACTTGTTTTATTTTCTCTTTTACTAAAAAAAAAGAAGACAAACCTTCTGCTCTCTTACAGCCTTGCTACACTACAATATCGCATGTGCGGACAGGCTCCCAAGAAGAAATGCCAGCGATATACCAATGTGCTTCACAAAACTGGAACTACTCATTCAGATTGTTTTGGGGGGTTTTTTGTTTTTTACAGAGAGCTTCTCGGTGTTTCGGCTTCCACAGGCTTACGAGAGCAGGGCGGGGAAAAACCCAAATGAGCTGTAATGTTTGAAAACCAGTGAGAAAAGCCCAGAAGGCAATGCAAGGAGCGGCAGAGTCAGTTGGCATATTGTGCATAGAAAGCAACTTTTACTCGCTCAATCTGGTGGCACAACTTGATGGCTGGGCCAAGTTTCAGCTCCATGCATTCTTGCACGGTCGGCAGGGTCAGCAGCAGAAGCGCCTGGCCATCAATGTCCTGGGAGGAAACAAATAACATGTTGTTGCTTTTGGTTGAGAAAGGCTGAGCAGGAAAGGGCAGGGACAAGAGGTTTGGCTTCGGTGCATCTAAGACTGGATGACAGCCATTCTGAGTAGCACTGGAGTACTGTAAGGGGTGACAGCCATGCACCAGGCACTTGAATTAGTATTTGTTTCAGTAGCACCTAGGGACCCCAAAAGAGCTTGACTGAGCTACAGACACATAGGCCCCTGCTCCAGACAACTCACACTCTATATAGACAGAGGTGGAAGAGAGGGGAGCACAACTACCACTATTTTACAGAGGAGGAATTGAGGCATAAAGAGGCATTAGATCAGGCATGGGAAGGAGCTAAACTTAGAAATTCAGTCCTGCTCTAGGCTTTCAGCACTGGGCCATCCTCCTTGAGCTAGGGGGTTTACCGACCCTAGGAGATGATAGGGTCGGTAAACCCCCTAGCTCAAGGAGGATGGCCCAGTGCTGAAAGCCTAGAGCAGGACTGAATTTCTAAGTTTAGCTCCTTCCCATGCCTGATCTAATGCCTCTTTATGCCTCAATTGGGGCATATGCCTCACTGGGCCATCCTCCTCCTTATCTACACTGCTGTGGCCCATAATCTGGAAGGGAGACCTTGAAGAAGTAATACACCAGTTCAAATCATGCCCCATTCAGTCCTGAGTCTCTCCAGTGGCTAAGAGCAGTGTTATTTGTGCGGTCGCCACCTGTCCACAGCACAAATAGCTGTGAGGACGGCATGAAAATTCATTCCAGCAATAATAACAACTCATGCTTCTTGGTCTGGATTGAAGCCACCCGTGGGATGTTTCTACAGCTCTTTACAGAGTTCTCTCGGACACCCTGAATGCAAACTATGTGGGTTCCTGACTCTTAGGAGCAGGGACCCCAACATCCCACGTGTGAGACTTTTGGACTGTTTCCACCATATTCCTTCCTTGGTGCCACTAGTTAATTAGGAGACCAATTCTTTAAAGAGACAGACTGAAACATAAATAAGAGAGATATGATCATAATGAGGAAAAACAGGTGAATCAAAGTGTGTCAATGAGAATCATTAATGTCATAATCAAGTCCTCAAGAACTCCCTAAACATAGTCAATACACATGGTAAGCGCTCCTCTGATTAGGAGATCCTACTTGGGGGTGCCCTCTTTGAAACGACCTGTAGCCTGAGAGCACCAGGAGCTGCATGGCAGGTAATAAGCAAGGCCAAAACATTGATGGCTTTGGCTGATTAAAGATCCCACAATATTTTTGGTAAGAGTCAGAGTCTTAGCTTTCATGTCCTGGCAACGTTCTTGGCTGGCTAATAACTGATGTCCTTGTGATGCCCCTTCATTCTGAACTGGATAGTGGTAAATGTTATTAGTGGAGAAATGACTGATTACTTATAATTATAAGTGCCCATGCTGCTTTGAGATGAAAGGCACTATTTGTTTGATCTCCAGAAATGCTGAGCTCCTGCATGCTGCTTTGTCTTAATTGGAAGCACTTGGCACCTTCTGAAATGGGGACACTTTCCATGGCTCCAAAAGAATTAGGGGCCAGATTCTCCAAGGCACTTAAACACCTGACTCCCACTGCTTACAGTGGAAGCAGGTGCCTAAATACCTTTTCAGGAAACTCACCTTTGTTTCCAACTGTCCCCTCCTAATATGTTGTAAGTGAAGTTAAACCGCGGTAGTTTACCCAGTTTTATTCATTCATTGGGCTGTCTTTCACAGTGGCATAAGCATTTTTTCTGTGCATGCCCTCAGTGACAGAGCTCAGACGGGAACCTAGATCTTTTGTTTCCTGGTCCAGAGCTATAATCTCATTAGGGTGAAATAATACCCCCTTGTGCAGAGGGGCCAGTACATGACCCTGTACCAACTAAGTGCCACGTAAGCCTCCTGTTAAGGACTTACATAGGATGTAAATGGTGGTGTCTGGGCCTCACACTGATGCCCTGCTGAAGGATGAATTTTACCCTTAATGAACAGGAAAGATGCAAGTCTTCCTCTATTTCACAGACTCGTGTGATGTGAATAAGCATGCGAATACCCAGCTGCCACTAAAAAAAAAATAGCAAGGTGAAGCAGTCTACCTGTTCCTGAAATATCTTGGCTAGGGGAGCGCAGTCTGTCAGTTTGATAAACCTCACCACGTCAGTCACTGTCCACTCCAATGGGTTGCTGTCCAGAATGAGTTTTTCTTCCTCCTCTTGCTTTATTTCCTGCAAGACCCAAAGCATTTGTAAAGAAAAGGGCACTACACTCAAAACTACTCATCTGTGAAGCATGTAGTGCTCTCTTCAGATGGCTAGCACTCAACACCTAAGGTCATGTCAACGGAAAAAAATACTGCTGTTAAAATGGGAACGAAGTAGTTTGCTAGAAGACTCACTTCCTTGACTTGAGTGCACTTCTCCTGTTCACTGTATGAGAGAGACGGTGTTTTCCGGCTCCTTCTCGCTCTCTCAATGGGAGGAGGCCTGTCCGACTCGGTGCTGCTTCGTAATGTCATGGCTCTCCTCGGTCTGGCTGACGGGACCTCGGCCGAGGAGGTGTCTGTCTGGTCATCCCGTAGTTCTGAGCTGGTTTCTTCACTCCCTGTCTCATCTTCCATAGCATCTGGCTCCTCCTCTTCACTTTCCTATGGTGGCATAGGTACAGAAACATCACTGTGACACAGGACTGAACACAACTACACATTTCCTTCTGCACATTAAAAGACATCAGATCAACTTCTATTCGCCCATCAAGTTCAATAGTGAGTCACACCGGTAGCTTCAACTGAGTTACACCATGTTTATCACAGTGGCATGTCACTTGAGCCCCATATTTAGGTTCTGTTACAACACTTTATAGGGAAACAATTTTTTCCACTCTCGTATCAATTAAAACCATCTCTTGTTTTGATACGAACGTTCCTTCCCAGCGAGCGCACCTCGAGCCCTGCAGCACCGCACAGGGGCAGGAGACCTGGAAAGTGAAACTGATTAGAAAAAATGAAACTGACGAGTCCTGCATTTTTGGTGTTCTGTTTTGTTTTGACCTTCTCTCGGCTTCAGCAAAGAGTTTCAGCACGTGCTGATGATCTTTGCCATTCCTAACATAATTAGCATTACAAGCAGCTGTCTGAGCTCCTCTATAATCCAGCACATAGGCTTTCACCCAGGTATTCCTGCATCTGGCTGAACAATTGAGTTAAAACAGATGGCCATGGGGTGGGCGAGAATTCGCTTTGTAGTTCCTTGTGTCAGGTAGGGTGTGAAAAGCTTCGAGACACCCTACCTGACACCGTTATGCCCCCAAACTCTTACCTGTAGATAAGACCTTGTATATGAGCTAAGTTTGACTCATACACATGGTCCCCCTGAGTTCAAAGAGGCTACCTATGTCTAAAGTTGAGCATGTTCATAAGATCTTATCCTCGTGCTGTGTCACATGGCTTTGAGTCAAAGCATGATTTACAACTGACTTAGTCAAATCTGTTCAAAGGCCTGGGTGATGCTCTCATTTCGGCTTCTAAGAGGTTTACTTGGGCTGGCTTAAGTCAGTTAGAAACAGATTTAAATTAACCCAAGCCCAAATGAAATCAAAATGAGTGGCCACATCAGAGCAGTTAAACTAAACCAGTGAAAGTTGGTGCACAGACAACGTTTACGTCTCTGAAGGAATGAGACTTTGGATGGCACAATGTGTAGCACGGGAACTTTGTCTCAAAGCTCCTAGAGTATCTTTAGATATTAAACTAAATGACAATTAATTAGGAGAGCACTAGAACTCATGCTGCCTCCAGAGCAACCTATAAACGTCCACTCTCCATTTAGAGACGAGGTTCTTTGGGTGAATCTGATATCTTTTATTAGACCAACTTAAATAGTTGGAAAACAATTATTAAGCAAGCTTTCGGGTTCAACAACCCTTCGTCAGGCTAAGGAAGTTGTTTTCCAACTATTTAAGTTGGTCTAATAAAAGATATCAGATTCACCCAAAGAACCTTGTCTGCCTGTGTCCTTAGACCAACACGGCTACAGCCTACACCCCTGCACTCTCCGTTTATAGTTTCTTGCTATGTGTATTGCCATAGCACCTAGCAGCCTTAATCATGGACTGGGACACCCCACTGTGCAAGGGGCTGTGCAAACAAAAAGCCCATCTCTGCCCAAAAGAGTGGCCTCAGACAGACAAGGAAGCACAAGGAATCAGTAAGGCTGTATCAGTCCACAAGGCAGGCAGTGTTCTCAGCACAAGAGATGCCTAACCACTGTCACATTTTTTGCTGGCAACACAGCAAGGCAGAGTCTTAAGAGGGAGGTTTATGGAAGCAGCAAGACAGAAGAAAGCATCAAGGTGCTCATTTGAAAATGTATGTTTTTTAAAGTCAATGCCATACACTACAGGATGCTTTAAAACATAGTGAAAGAGCCAACTCCTGCATGTACCTCTGCAGACCCTGCAGTGTTAAAATCAGCAGTCGATGACCTCCTCTTCTTCTGCACAAAAATGGATTTCCGTCTTTTTCTGCGCCTTGCAGGCTTGATGTGTCCACTCTTCAAGTTGTTGTTTTCCCCAATTGGTGGCTTAATGATTTTTTTCCTCTTCCCATAATAATAGGCTAGAGGGGGAATAAAAACCTAACACATTAAAAATATAATTGCCAAGAAACTGAAGCCTTGGCTTACTCTATGCTATTCATCCTACATGTTAGGCTCCT